CTTTTGTTGTGTCATGCATACGACATAACGTTGGAGGAGAAGACCAAACATTTAGAGTTGATTTACGACACAAATGGTGTGATTGTGGTCTCTTTCAGGCATGGAAATATCCATGTGCTCATGCAGTCGCTGCATGTTTGTATGCTGGTGTAAGCGCATACACTTATGTTGATGAATGCTTTCACCTGCATAGGATATTAAATGTCTACAACTATACGTTTAGGCAGATCTCAAATGAATCATATTGGCCTAAAAAGGATCGTGACGAATGGCTGCCAAATCCAATGCTTCGTAGAAGTCCAAAGGGTCGACCTGAGTTCAGTCGTATTCATACCAAAGGGTGAATGTCATTCAAAAAACAAATGTCCTAATTTACCAAGATATAGGTCTCCTCATTAGTAATCATAATGTATTTCTATGTATTTATATATTTAATATTATCAAATTTAAGTTTTAATAATATTTAACATTTGCAACTTAAAGTTTATTTTAAATTGAAATTTTAGTTTTTAAGGTTAAACAATTCTAAACACAACTTATGATTACAAAATCAAATACTGGAATTTAAATATTTAATCCATAATATGAATAACAAATGAGTTTACAATTATTGTCGATGTCGGGGTGTTGTTGAATGATAATGGCGGGGCGGGCGTTTGATACGTTGTGGCCGTTGCGGTTGCTCGGGAAAATGGTACCCATCCTCCTCATTCATTGCGATTTGCTCTTCCATCTCACTTGCAAACGTTGACTGACAAATACTGGTATTTGACATCATAGATGTCATTTGGTCACAGTCATACGTCGACTCAAACATGGGAGAGTAGATAGGCGCCTCAGGCTGCACAAACTCTGGTACATATGCCGAGATAGTAGAATCATCAAATGCGTGATGCAATGATCCCGCATCGCCGAACGGTTGTGGTGCGCTGTTATCTACATCGGTTATTTCTGCTTCAGGTTGTTGAGATGAACTCCCACTCGGTAGAGAGTATTCACCTTTTCCAAATATTTTTTGAAACCTAAAAAACTGTCGCCTTTCTACCCTTATTGTCAAGAACTGCTTTCCATTATCCCAAAAATAATCAAGGTAAGCCGAAGTCTCAAAATTAAAGTCATCGTCTTGAATGGGGGCAAGAGTTGGCAAGAATGAAGCCCTATTGTTCCAAGCATTAATGTAGGTTTCATGCTTCTCAACCCAATTCACATTTTTATTATTGCGACCATCAAATTTGTGGAGGTGGTCATGTGTCTCAACCCAATTCACCTGACGGTGACCATCTAAGTTTTGGAGGAGGTCATGATCTCATGGACTCTGTGGAATAGGTTGGTGGAAGTCGAATTACCTCAGCACTCTATCCGCAAATAGGATCTCAACAAAAGCAAAATTAATCAATGGTGTAACAGCACACCAATATTGACGCCCATAAAAAACATCATGCGGCACATACGCCATAATTTTTGCATCTTCGTATGGTCTCCAATTAAACTGTAAAATTAAAATAACAATAAAATTGATATAAATAAAATATTATAGTCATATTAAATAATAATTAATAATAACATATTATATTTACCTCTTTTTTCCCTTAATGTCGATCTTCAGCCTCAACTCTTTAATATTGTTGTGCATCAATCCCATGCCTTCAATTTTATGTCTCCATCTGTATATCAATCAAACAAAAATATGTCAATTTTTTTTCAATATTTTTAATAAATATATATAATTTATAATTAATATTTTATATTAAAATAGAGAATTTATATTACCTTCCGGCAAGTGGAAAGTCAACCGCAGTTCGAATAATCAGTGTCAAAAACGGAAATCTATGCCAAGAATTTGCACTCCACAAGAACAAAAATTAACAAATTATAACTTAAACTAATAAACTTTTTATTATAATTCAACTAAACTAAAACTAACAAACTAAAAACAACTAATTAACTAGTTTTCTATATATATAGGCTATCAACAGTCAAACTAACATAAAATTAAACAACATATAATAAATAATTTAATATAATTTAAACTATAACTATATTTATAAAATAGCGACATATAATAAACCATAGTCATTAATTTAATATGATTCAACAACAATTAATATAATTCTTCAACATTAATCTAACTTAAACTAACAAAGTAATTAACTAATTTTTTATTATATAATATCTGTAACCTAAACTATGCCCACTAATTAAATAACTAACTAATTAATAATGTAATATATTCAAAAAAAATAATAATTTAAACTAATTTATATGGCTAAACTTATTCTCGATTACCTCTTCTTCCTTTTCTTTCCTTTCTTTCACCTTTCTTTATTCCTTTCCTTCACTTTTCTTTCTTCTTCAGTTCTTACAATCGAAACACTCTCCCCACACCGAATATAGCAACAATAAACCCTGCCCGGGAATTTTACAGAACAAATTTTAATGAACAATAATTTGTGGTCCACCCGTGAGCAGCTGCAAATTACAGCGCAAATCAGTAGGAATCACGTCGGGAATGCATGGCGAGTTGTCTGATTCATGAGGGAAGGGCCACTATTCGTTTCTTCTTCAGATTCACTACAAGATCGTCCGATTGCATGGCGACCTTCAAGCTTCGCCTCAACTGCATGGCAATCCTTCAAGCTTCGCCTGACTACATGGCGACCAATCTCATCCTGTATCATTCGCACCATTTGAAGAATAATGCTCGGAGAATTATCACGTGAATTGTTTTTTTTACAACGTTTTTACGTGAGTTTAGCCACTATTAATTATAGTTCAAAGTAAGAAAGTATTAATAATTTCTAGGTGAATTAGTATTCAATTAACATGTAACATTAACCTTAACCAACCAATATTAAATTAATTATGATCATGAAAGTTGACCAACTTTACTGATGAGGTGGTCGGTTTAAATCATTTAAATTAAAAGGATAAATTACACATTTAGTACTTAACTATAACTTTGTTTTGTTTTGGTATTAGATTATTTTTTAAATCATGTCTAACGTTTAGTTTTTGATTTCATATTAGTCAACAGCCGTTGAAAAATTAACAATGATGTTGATGTGTCACAATAAAATAATACCAAGTCATCATTGAAAAACTATGCCCACTAATTAAATAACTAACTAATTAATAATGTAATATATTCAAAAAAAATAATAATTTAAACTAATTTATATGGCTAAACTTATTCTCGATTACCTCTTTCTTCTTCCTTTCTCTTCCTTTCTTTCACCTTTCTTTATTCCTTTCCTTCACTTTTCTTTCTTCTTCAGTTCTTACAATCGAACACTCTCCCCACACCGAATATATAGCAACAATAAACCCTGCCCGGGAATTATTACAGAACAAATTTTAATGAACAATAATTTGTGGTCCACCCGTGAGCAGCTGCAAATTACAGCGCAAATCAGTAGGAATCACGTCGGGAATGCATGGCGAGTTGTCTTGATTCATGAGGGAAGGGGGCCACCTATTTCGTTTCTTCAGATTCACTACAAGATCGTCCCGATTGCATGGCGACCTTCAAGCTTCGCCTCAACTGCATGGCAATCCTTCAAGCTTCGCCCTGACTACATGGCGACCAATCTCATCCCTGTATCATTCGCACCATTTGAAGAATTAATGCTCGGAGAGAATTATCACGTGAATTGTTTTTTTTACAACGTTTTTACGTGAGTTTAGCCACTATTAATTATAGTTCAAAGTAAGAAAGTATTAATAATTTCTAGGTGAATTAGTATTCAATTAACATGTAACATTAACCTTAACCAACCAATATTAAATTAATTATGATCATGAAAGTTGACCAACTTTACTGATGAGGTGGTCGGTTAAATCATTTAAATTAAAGGATAAATTACACATTTAGTACTTAACTATAACTTTTGTTTTGTTTTGGTATTAGATTATTTTTTAAATCATGTCTAACGTTTAGTTTTTGATTTCATATTAGTCAACAGCCGTTGAAAAATTAACAATGATGTTGATGTGTCACAATAAAATAATACCAAGTCATCATTGAAAAAAATAAAAAAAAATACCACATCAGTAGTTCGGTTAATTTTTAACGTCATGTGACCAAAACGTAATATTAGGTAAGATTTAAAAAATTGTTAGGGACCAAAACAGAATAAATGTAATAGTTAAAATACTAAATGTGCGATTTACCCTAAATTAAAAGAATTGAAACAACAATAAGTTAATGGGTAAACTACACATTTAGTACCTAAACTACCAATTTTAATTCGTTTTATTACCTAAAATTTCATTTTTTTTTCAAAATCATACCAATGTTTAATTTTATTTCATTTTAGAACTCACCGTTAAAAATTAACGCGTTTAATACCTAAATTGTCAATTTTGGTCTGTTATAGTACCTAAACTTTCATTTTTTTCTTCCAAAAATTAACGTTAAATTTTGAACATGGGTACTAAAATGAAATAAAAACTAAAATTTAGTATGATTTTGAAAAAATTAAAAGTTTAATATTAAAACGGATAAAAACTAATAGTTTAAATAATAAATGCATTATTTATCGTAAGTTAATTTATTAGACAAGACATTAAATCTCGTTTAAATCTTGATGCTATAAATAAAGTAAATTGAGTTGTGAGAATTGATTTCATAATGAGTCTAAACAGTATCGATTTAAATTGATTGATCAATAAATAGAAAACTATAATTAATTAAAAAATATTAAATGAGCACCATCATTAGTTACACAGGGAAATGGAGAGAATGACCAAATTTCTCCATTTCTTTGCTTCTGTAATTCAAATTGGATATGAAAGAGCAGGATTTTGCTTCAAAGTTCATACCATATATGTACAGATACAACACATTTATATATACAGACACAACAACCTAGTGTTACAGATTTCAGATGGTAATTAAAGGGATTGTTGGTGAAACATTTTCATGACTGAACTCAAAGTAAATCCCTATCCAATGTGTCAGAAACATGTTCGAAATGGTTAAAAAAAAAAAAGAAGAAAAAAATCCAAAAGGAGTTGTCTTTACATAAATGGTCTAATTATGGTTTTAGTCCCTCTTGTGTTCCAAAATTTGAGATCCAATCCCCTTTCTTTAATTCATCTCAAATTTCAACATAACAGAGAAAGTAAAACCTCAAATCATTTGCGAGATAAATAGAGATGAAAGCCTTACTTCAAAAGCTTTAATCATGGAGGAAATTAGGGTTAGCAAACTGAAACAAATCCGACGCCGTTTTTCATCATCTTCTTGAATTCATCAAAGTTAACCATTCCATCACCATCCATATCAACTTTCCTTATCATTGCTTTACAATCTTCCATCTTCTTCCCTTCACTCAACCCCAACGAACTCAGCACCGAACCCAGTTCCTCAAACGAAATCAACCCGTCTTTGTCTTTATCGAACACATCGAAAGCCTCTTTAAGTTCATCTTCGTCACCGCCGTCGTCACTGCCGCCACCCCTCATATCTCCACCGCCACATAAGATGCAGAACTCGTCGAAATCGATCAATCCATCTCCGTTGGCATCGGCTCTGACGACCATGTCTTCAACCTCTTTCTCCGTCGTGAACAGCCTAATATTCTTGAGCGAATCCCTCAGCTCTTGCTTCGTTATGAACCCGTCGCCGTTCTTGTCGAAGGTGGCGAAAACCCTTTTCAGCTCTGCCTTGTTCGAATCCGAATCTGTCGTCTCCTTCACCGAAACCACAACCTTGGGTGTTTTCTCGGGGAAGAAAGATTGAAGCCATGCATGAAACTTCTTGCGGGAGAAATAAAAGTAAACGTTAACAAATCCGGCTATGAAAAGAAAGGCCAGTAACAGTATCGGTGTCACCATGTTTGTTGTGAGGATGAAGAAGAAGAAAGAAGAGTTAATACAAAGAAGAGAAAAGGGATTGTCTTTTCATATTATCTGAGGGAAGACAGCTTAATAACAAAGACAACCTTTTTTCAGGACTAAAACGAAAAACAAAGAGAATCGTGAGAGAGAATACGCGGAGTTTGGTGTGAATGTTGGATCCCACAAAACCGCGTGAACTGTAATTACTGTAAATAAAGAAATTCAGTGATGCAGCTCATGGAAGTTTACTTCTACAAATTTATAGGTCAAAATCTAGTTTGGTCTCTCTCTATATTGAAATTTGAAATTTGGTATATATACTTATTATTCATGGCCAGTGCATTTGTATTTTTTTTCCTCCCGGTTCCCCCAATGTTTTGCCTGATTAATTTGGCCCACCTAATTTTGGTGGATAAGTCTCTCGTGGGAAATTTTTGCATACAAAAGACATGAATTCAAGATATGTTTAAGTAATGTCAAGCTACTTACCAATTGAGCCAACATGTTAGTAGTACATTCGTATTTTAATATGACACAATTTGGATTTTTTTATAAAAATATATTAGTTAATTCAAATAATTAACACCATTAATTATTTTAATTAAAACCTAAAGTGGTTTTTCCTTAATAAATTCTTTCTAATTTTAAGAAAAACATTAGTATTTTAACCAAAATAGATATGGAGAGTATTAGGGATGTGTATTTCACTTGAAGTCGACAAATTTTGACTCGATTCAATTCGATTAGGTCAAATTTTTTTGAAATTTGGGGTCTACTTTTTTATGGATGGGTTGAGTTTAGTCAAGTACGAGTGCTTGGGTTTAATTTTGAATCAAGTTTGAGTGTACAATAAATTTGACTCAATCTAACCACAGTCATCCCTAATGAGAACAAGTAGGGGAAAGCCAAAAAGTTTATGTTGGAGGGGTGAGATAAAATTAAAAAAGTTTGAAGTTTAAAGCTAAAAAATGTGTGTTAAAAATTTCAAATAGTTCAAATTAGATTATGATTTTTTTTTGGAGGGACTAAATATAGAAACTTTTATTTTAAAACATTTTAAATTGAATTATTAACCTTTTTGGTGGGGTCAAAGCAAACTTAGTGTTTAAAAACCTAAAGTATTTTTTAAGGGACCAAAGTTGAAAAATTCATTGAGTTATTATTATTATTATTTTGGAGGGGCCAAAGCTAATAGCTTTGTATTAAAATAACTTAAATTGAATGTTAGCTTTTTGTAGGGTCAAAACTAAAAACAAATTGTATCAAAATATGTAACACCCTAATCTAGTTTGACCTGAAGATCCATGGATTACAATGTCACAAGCGACTATCGAAATAGTGACCCAAAATTTTTTCTTTAAAAACTTCTTTTAAGTTCACTGAAATGATTCATCCATAATATTAAAACAACCCATAGTAATAATCTGAGTTTACAAAATAATGAGGAGCTCCCAAAATATATCCAAATTAAATACAGTACCAGTACAAATCAAAGTTACGACTGAATATACAAAAAGTGTCCATAAATAGTACATGCCCTCTAAAGAATACTCAAGACGTACTCTGATAGTCAATGTTGCTCTGGACAGTTGCACTAAAATATCTGCAGACAATAAATCCCCTCGAACTGCCCCCTAAGAACCTGCGCACGGAAACACATTCCGGGCATTGAGCTTACGAGCTCAGTACCTCATTAATAACTTTACTATACTATATAAATTCACTAAATGAAATGGCAAGTGGCACAGGTCTGAGCATACAACTACTGAACTACTAATCTGTGGCGGCATCATGGTGCAGCGAGGGATTTTGCATCTTGGAGCTCTTGCACCCCTCTAGCATTGTCGACGTACCCTCAGGTACACCTAGGGTGAGATCCAAAATTCTGCATCGGAAGCGTACACCTGCCAACTTACTTTGTCGAGTCTTGGGGCATATGCACCCAGTTGGCCACTGAAGTGCATGGAACTGACTTGGATCCACTTATTGTTGTATTCTGCTAGAATGAACTCAGTAATAAACAAGGATAGTTTTATGTAAAACTAGTTGTTTCTTTTTCTACTGTTATGTTATTAATTTTTGTTCTCACTTGAAGTCTTATTTGATGTTATCAGAATATATTTGGGGTACTTCAGGTCTCATCCCTAATTCATTGGATTATTTATCCAAATTTATTCGTGGGTACCGATACTGAGCCTTTAGTATCGATACTAAACCTTTGGTATCGATACCCCCTGACTGACATGGTTTTTGTGTCAAGGCAGTGTTGATACCCTAGTATGAGTATCGATACTATAATGTTGGGGTGTCGATTCTTGACTGAGTATCGATACCAAATTTTGGTTCGATGTTCTGAAAAATAGCCTAGTATTGATACCATATGGGGAGTATCGATACTCATGCCCCTGTATCTACACTCAATGAATGAGTATCGATACTACCCTTATAAAACCGCCTAATTTATGCATGGCTGAAGAACAGTATCGATATTGTTCTTACAATATCGATATCGTCGTTGTTGGGTGCTCTGTTTTAGTACGAAAAATCATATCTTTCCCTACCCAAATGCCCCATCGAGGCCCCCAACTGATGTTTAAATATTTTATTGATATTAGAGGTCATAAATAGGTCTTAACACATGCTGAAACATAAAAAATATGAATCTACCATGAAAATGCTTTAAGCTTATACAACCTACAAATTATCATCTGAATGGGCTACACATGGTATAGGTAAGTTAGAAATGAGTTTCCTTGAGTGTATAGACTATTAGAAGTGCTCAAAACTCAACCCAAGGTAAGCTTATCTTTCCCATTAACTTGGGAGCTTTCTCCAACCTCTATATTAAAATTTGAAAATTACCCGTTTAAATAACTGTTTATGCTAAACGAGGATACCCATTTCCCCGCGGTTTTCCCCGATTACCTGATGGAGATTCTCGTTTAAATCCCCACAGTTTTTTAAGCGGGGACGGGAACGGGGGGACCAATCCTCGGCCCGAAACCGTCCCGTTGCCATCCCTAGCTCTAGAGGTGTTGAGTTTGATTCTTACCATTAGAATGGGTATTGGGGTATGAAAAATGATAAAGTATCTACCTGTAATCTTGAGAGAGAAAAAGTATAATGCACCCTTGACCTTTTGATTTTAATTGCAAATTGATATTACCCCTTTTAACTCTCTATTTGGGCCTAAACCAACTCAAAACCATTTTACTTGGGTCAAAACTTCCTACAAGCTAAAGAATTATTTCAAGGCCCATCTCGGGTTAGTCCAGAACTCTAACTCAAGATCCATAGCTTTACAAAATAGTTTAAAATAAATTAATATTTTTGTTGGGGCTAAAAGAACAACTTCTTTTAACTAAAGGCTAATGAGGACTAAATTGAATTATTAATATTTATGAAGTGTTATTATACCATTAAACCAAGGGGTTAGAACTCCTACCCGAATCCACCATGACTTACGGGGACTAAATTTCAAATTTAAATATATTGAAAGTCCTAATCATAAGTTGACAAATTGGGAATGAGAGATAACTACACAATAATATTTTATTAAAAACCATTCATCTTTTACTAAAAATTAAAAAATAAAAAATTAATGAAACAGCGGAATTTGTCAACGTTGTACTCGCTCATACTCAAATATCTTTGATTATTTGTTTTTATTTTTTGGGATAATGACATAACCGACATCAATTAACGGTATATTTGTTTTCTTATAATTGGTTTTCTAAAAATTATTTTTCTCATTTTCTATTTGGTTGGTAGTAAACATATGGTCAATGTAATTTATTTTTCTGATCAACTGAATTTCCTTTGCATATTTTGGAAAATGACTTATCATCTGATTTTTCATAAATCATTTTACAATTTTTTCACTTCAAAGCATAAATACTCAAAACATTATTATTTTATATATGTAATATTAATATACTATTTTAATAAAACTATTAAGTATTAAATGATATTTACTGATAATTTTAATAATATAATATTATATTATATTTTTTATTATAAGTATATTATTATAATATATAATATTATACTATTATAATAATATATAAAAAAATTATTATTAAAATTAATACTATTTTTAATTTAATATTATCTAATTTTTGAATATTTAATATATATATATATATACTCTTTAAAATATAATATACTAATTTTATTTTAATATTATAATTTATAATATTTATAATTTATTTTTAATAAATATATTTAATATATTAATCTCATTTTATTAAATAATTAATATAATTTATAATAATTTTATTTTAATACAACATAACAATCTTAATATTTTATTTATAAAATTATAGATATAATATTTTAATAATAATATTGACATAAATAATATGAAATAAATTATTCCAATATTTAAAAATATTATTATTGTTTTATTAATAAATATCATTATTCATTGTATTTGATATTTATAATAAAGAATTTTAAAATAATTTACCGATTAGTGGAAAATGAATTACTCAACATTATCTAAACACCATAAAATATGTTTTCCATAAAATATTTTTCGGGAAATATAATTCATTTTCCATAATCTGTTTTCCGTGAAATAAACGTACCCTAAAATTAGATCAAATTCTACTACGACGATTGATTGATTCATAAATATTATTTTTTGGTTGAAAGATTGGTTCATAAATATATAACTGCTCATTACAAACGTATCATTTTTTTATATAAATTTTAGGTGAATATAAGGTAGTGTTTATTAATTTTTTTAATCATTTGATAATGAACGTTCGTACTTCTGGTACATGCAATACTTAAACCTAGAACTTCAAGATGACAACAAATTCCTTAACCAATGAGGTCACTTAGTTCATGCACGCATGCAACACTTTAACGATGAAGTCTCGAGTCCTATCATTTTGTAATATCCATAAATTAATGAGGGATACATGTAGTGACAGATCCATTGAGGGTCGAGGGTGGGCACGTGCCCACTTCAAATCGAAATTTTCTTCGGCTAATTACCCATTTTATTGATGTTACCCACCCTGAAATTTTATTTGTGCTCACCTCATTCAAAAGTTTTGTGTTATCACCATATATGTGCTCACTCT